AAAATGTTGACGGCTTTTTCAGAATTTTGCATAATTTTTGTTTAAAATATTCCCTATTTTTACAATATTATTCAATGCGAAAGCTAAATAACAAGTGATTTAATTTAACACGTTCGTTCGCATTTATGATTGTAGGTTCGAAATAGAGAAATCAATTTTTATATGAAAAAGTAAAAAAGTTTTACGATATCATTCGACTTAGCTTTCCAATAGAAATAACAATTTCATTCGATAAAAGTAGTTTAACCAAAATATGTTTTCATTCTACTACAATAAGAAAGAAAGCTTAATTTCGATATTGTGAAACAGGCTATAAATGTTCTTCTATTACTTCAAAAATAGCCAAAACTTGGATTTATATAATACTTGTTTCCGATATATTTAAGCGAAAAACTAATTTTCTTTACATGGGAGCAAGGGGTAAATATGGACCGATCCCGTTACAATTTTATGATTAGATTTATATTTATACAATATTTATTTGTGCTGAAATTCATATATTAGTGTTTATATGTGAATTTTGGACATTCAACTCATTTTCTGAAGGGAATTTTATATGGGAGCTAGGGTCACATGCAGCCCGATCTTTATATAAGACATAATGATACTACTGCTTTTTGTAATGATCCTATTCCCCTTCAGAAAATGACTTGATGGACAAAATTCACACACTGCCCCCATATAAACCCTGTTTTAGAAAATAAAATCGCAAAAAGAGATACAATTTTCACCCCTTAAACGCCCGAATATCCATAAACATCTAAACTCGTATTTTATTTTTTTTTTTTTTGATAACTCAAAATTTTTTTGTATGTTGACTCCTTGGGGTGCAAAAAAGTACCAAAATACAGTTTTAATGACGATAAGCTTTAAACTGTTTTTGCATCTATCCTAGTTTAGGAGATATTAGACTACTGAATTTAGCTTTTTTTCTTTTTTTTTTTATCCCCTAAACATAAAAATTTTCATAAATACCATTTTTGGTTTTGTATGGATTTAAATTTATATAAATCAACTCTTTGTAAACGGTAGTGATGACATTTGTGACTTTAGTGTCACGAAGACTATCGACAAATAACTGTTTCTACAATTTAACTCATCTGAGAGCAACAAATTAAGGTCATACTGCGTTAAGAGGTTACGATGGAGTAAATTTGAGTTAGAGATATGTCATGACAATTTAATAGGCAATGGAACAAGAATAGGTGTACAATAAAAAATATTGCGTGATCTTAATATTTTTACAACTTTTATAATAAAATCATTGCCACGTGTTATAATTTTCATGAATAAAAATTTTCACAAAAATGCAAAAATTTAATTTTCTAACATGCAAAATATACATCGTGGTCTATAAATATTTTAAATGATTCATATTTTGCGATCTGGTAAAAATTTGTATAATCACTGTTAAAAAGGAAGAGGGTTATTTTTATTTTGTCATTCCGTTTGTAACACACCGAAATACTGGTCGCATATTCTGGGACCTTATTAAATTCTAACACGATCTAGAGTCCGTATTTTGAAAGTAATATTAAAAATCTGCAATATCGCTCCACGATTTCATCTAGCCCCCGGAATACAGTTTAAATAGTCATTAATAAGTTAATTATGAGGCAATTTTGATAAAATTTGGCACAAGCTTTTTTATCCACCCAGAAATTATACTGTGATCTATGGCGGATATCGGACCATGATTAACCCTACCCCCTATATAAGCTCCCATTCTTTGTTTGCCCTTTTTTAATTATCTAAGAAATTTTCAAGAAAATGTACAACATTTTCATACTCTATTTTTTTATACCCACCATCAAAAAAGATGGGGGTATATTGATTTTGTCATTCTGTTTGAAACACATCGAAATATTCGCCATAGACCCACAAAAATATATATATTCTGGGTCCTTATTAAAAAGACGATCTAGCCATGTCCGTATGTCTGTTGAAAAACGATAGAGTCCGAACGGAATGAGCTAGAGGGAGAAATTTTCCAGAAGTATTCTCTATAGATAAGGTTTGTTTGGTATTGAAAATGGACCAAATCGGTCCACGTTTTCGGATAGCTCCCATACAAGTGGACCCCCGAAAAACAGCCTTAACGGGCATATATGTTGTAAAAGTGTAACTATAGCGATGATATTCAACATAAATAAGTTCTATATCAGCCAAAAGCTCCCTGCCAAATTTTATGAAAATGGGTCCATAATTGACCCTGCCCGTCATATAAGGTCGGGCAGGGTCAGCGATGAAATTTGACATAACTAAGTTACTTTCAAGCCAAAACCTCTCTACCAGTTTTTATGTGGATCGGTCCATAATTGACCCTACCCCCCATATAAGGTCCCCTTCAGAAAATTACTTTAACGCTCATTACTGACTTAAAAATACGAGTACAGCGATGAAATTTGACATAATAAAATCTCTTATAAACCAAAATCTCTCCACCGAATTTTATGTGGATCGATCCATAAATGACCCTACCCCCCATAAAGGTTCCATTCAGAAAACGACTTTAACGCTCATTATTGGATTCGAAATACAAGTAAAGCGATGAAATTTCACATAAGTAAGTCTTTTACGAGCCAAGATCTCTCTACCAAATTTTGTGTGGATCGGTTCATAGGGTAGGTTATGAACACTCATATAAGATCACATTCAGAAAATGACTGTCATTAATGGATTCAAAATACAAGTAAACCGATGAAATTCGATACACATAAGTTCTATACGAGTTAAAATCTCTCTACCAAACTTAGTGCGGATCGGTCCACAATTGACCCTACCCCCCTTATAAGGTCCCCTTCAGAAAAGTACTTTAACGAATATTTCTGGCTTAAAAATACGTTTACAGTTGTGAATTTTGATATAAGAGACTTTTATAGAAACTTAAATCTTCCTACCGAATTTCATGCGGAAAATGTCGGTAATTTACCCTACCCGCCCATATAAGCCTACCTCCAGAAAATTACTTTAGCACTAATTACTGACATAAAAATGTGTGTACAGCGATGTTATTCGGTGTAAACATGTTTATATGAACCAAAATGGGTCTAACAAATTGTATGAAAAACGGTCTGTTATTTGATGAGTGATTATGATTTTAGGGGAGCATTCCTTTTATGGACGTTTTGATGGTGGGTATATGAGATTCGGCACAGCCGAATATATCCCTCTTACTTGTTATAAATTTAAAAAAAGGTTTCTTAGATAAAAACTAAAATTTTTTTCTGATATGTTTCAAAACTTTTTTGGAAACTGCTGAATTTCTGATAACAAATTTTAAACTTTCTATCTATTTTAGCATTTTTAGTAATCCCGATATGAAATCAGATAAATTTTTTTTTAGCAGTAAACGAATATTTTGTTAGTTGTGGCATCTTTCTAATACCTATTCAAACTTATTTAATAAATAAATAATATTTATAGATAACAAAATATATTTATGGAAAATTTCATTCTCCATAGTTTTTCTCATTTTGGGCAATATTGCGACCTACAACAGAAAAACTGACAGACAGACAGTCATTCATATCAACAATAAATTTTAGTATTTAGTATTAAGATTTAATTGTTAGACCCAAGATGGTGTGGTCAATATTTAAATATGAACCGATCCCGATAAAATATTGTGATTAGATTTATATTTATATAATATTTATTTGGGCTGAAATTCATAGCGATATTAGTATTTATATGTGAATTTTGGACATTCAAGTCATTTTCTGAAGGGGATCTTAATGAAATTTGGCAAGGTCATCAAGGCTTGTATAAAACTTATTTTTGCCACTTTTTATCGAGATACAGGTATATTTAACATAATTATGAGCTCAAAGGACCTTTTCGGGGGGTTCTGTTGTATGGGGGCTAGGTGAAATAATGGGTCGATTTTAACCATTTTCAATAGGCTTCGTTCTTGGACAAAAAAAAAAACAAATTCCATCCAATTATGTTGAAAATTGCGACTTGCACCTTGCGCACAAGGTTTACATGGACAGCCAGCCAGCCAGACGGACGGAATCGACTCAGAAAATGATTATAAGCCGATTGGTACACTTTAAGGCGGGTGTAGAACGAATATTTATCTGTGTTACAAACATCAGCACAAATCCAATATACTCTCCCCACTAAAGTGGTGTAGGGTATAAGAAGTCATATCAATATGTGTCTAATAACACAGGCCAACAAATTGTTAATCCAGAGACCAAGGTATACTTTACTTTAAGATAGAGCATCGCTAAATCTGAATCTGGCCTCGGAATATCTCCATCGTGTCATAAAAACTGAAAAATCCCCGTATTTTAGTTATATTTGAGACATAATAAGAGCGCGAAGACATCTTTGTGGATAAAATCTGTCTTGCCTAGCATTTCGCCCTTGATCTATGACAAAATTATTTTCCTCAATTTGTTAGCAATTTTTTAAATGAAGGTGACTTTCTGCTTCTAAGAGGAAATAAGAACACGATATCTATGAAATAAGAACACGATATCTCTGAGGCTACATACAGATTTATCGATACTAAATATTTCAGGAATATATACTTACGTCTCTGGGTTTTGACATTTTTTTTTTAATTTTTTTTTTTTTGGCCTCTGTAATTTGTCTAGCTATCTTATGCAGAATATTAACTGAATCAAAAAATACGTTAATATTAATTTCATAATACCACTAATTACTTTCGATTTGTAGCCACTTTGAACACCTCTTAAACTATGTTTCACCACAAAAGCCTTATTCACACATTTAATTTAATTGATAATTACGAATTTGAAAGGTTCATTAACTTTTCCAATTATAAAACCCAACTAATAATTTTCGAAACAAAACAATATAAAAATGTTTATGTTTTTGCTATAATTTTTTTTATACTCATTGTTTCATTGCAAATAACAGTAATTAACACTTTATCGTATTGCATAAGTTAAGGAGTGAATATTAACAAAAAAAAAAAAAAAACGCACACTAAAAACAATAGTTTTTGTTTTGTACATATTATTTACCTTTGTTTATAGTTGTTCAAAAATGTTGCATGCAATTGCTTTTTATGTAATTTTTTTATAATTTATGTAAAAAACATACAACACACGCAAAAAAACTCTAGGTATATGAATCTGCCATATAATACAAAAAATATCGACACAAAAACCAAATAAAAATTCAACTTTTTGTGAAACTAGAATTACATGGTGTTGACACGCAAAACTTTAATAGCATAACATAAACAGGAAATATGCAACCGATATGGCAGGGTTTTTAAACTGAATATAAGTAAAAATTTTTTATGTTTTTTTTTTAGTTTTCTTACTTATGGTCAGAATTGTTAAAATATGCAAGAAAATCGAAATGAAATTACTATTTTTTTGTTGTTGAAGAATTTCACATTTTCATATTCATTCAAATATATTTTGCTCTAAATTTAATAATTTTTTGGTTTTCTTAGCCGACGGCTTTAAGGACACACATCATGACATACTTTTAGCTTGAATATAATTAAAATTTTTAATTTTCTTATAAGTTAGCATAATTTTTATTATAATTTTTATTTAACTGTTCACATTTTTCCAACACTTTTTGAAACAAATTTTTTTTATTTTTTTATCTTTAAGTTTCAGTTTTATTTTTAATTAATTTTTTTTTTTAGTTTTTATTTTTTAAATTAAAATATTTATTTTTAATTCATCCGTTATTTATGTTTATTATTATCCATTTTGTCTTTTTGTTTTTTTTTTGTTTTCTCTTGATGAATTTTGTTTTTAAAACCGTACAAGATGAAAGCTTAATGTTGACTAAACATGCAGCAGCTTGCTTACTATGCTTACCTTACACAAACACATACTGCGAAGCACACGCACACACTCGCCTCCACTGAAAGCATACTCATACACATACATAAAACATCAAACACGACGTTATTTTAAGTTCGAATCTACCATGTTAGCGCGCGATTGACAACAACACCAAACGACATATACACACGAACAACAACGGTACAAGAAGTAAGTTTACCGTTAACACTCACACACACACATATAAACATTATGATAAAAGCTGTTGCTTTGCTCCCTGTGTTATAGAGCAGGGTCCGAAAAATAAAAGATAAATCTTAACACTCCTCAAAGTTTGGTTGTGTTTTCTTTTTCTATAGACAACTCATTTAATATTGAAACGCCAAAATGTATGCAACAATTTGTTGTATTTGTGTTTTTCTTTAATAACTAGGCAATAAATTCTTGATAAGTTCATTGTAGAAGCTTAAAATCAACTCCGCGCATCTATGAAGAGCATGAGCTAGTAGAAGAGAAAAGCTTTTTCTTTATACTCTCTGTCCGTATTACTTTCTCTGATTTTGTTTTCTAAAATCACCTGTTGGTCGTCGTTATGATGCACCGGTTTCGTTTGCACACAATTCACATGAGTAGCGCCAAACAGGCAGTGGAGTATTTATTTAGTTTAGTGGCTTAGTAGGTCTGTTAACGAAAACCACCCCCATCTCGTTATCTCCAGTACAAATAAAAATAATACAAATGAATTTAATAAAAATCACAACAGTGGGCGAAATAAGAAATAGTTTTAGCAGAAATATACAAATTTAGGAGAATTTATGTGTTGAAATTGTAAGAGTTGGTACTAGTGACTGTTGGTAATAAATCAATCAAATTATTGATGACAAAGGATTATAAAAAGTACTAAGCGTATGAGTATTAAAAGTTTATACAGATATTCCGCATACGTAAATAAATATGTATATAACTTCTAAACTGTAATTATGATAAATTTAGATCATCTTAAGATACCCAAGTCGGGTGCAGTGATTCCCAAAGTAAGGCAATCCGCTTCGAGTCAAAATTTTAAATTATCGCAATTATTTGTCTCTGGTCCGATTTAAACAGTTTTATTGGGTGAATAACGTAATAATTAGGTATTTTTTTTTCCAAAAAAATTTCTGGTTAAATATAGATTTCGGCCCAAAAAAGCTTCTCAACTTATGAGACCCAAAACGAATTAAGCTTTATTCTAAAGTAAAGCTTATCGTAGAAAGAGCGTTCTACATCAATCGAAAAACGGGACAAGGTTTTAACTAAATAGCTAGTGAGACCAAACTTCCCAACCACTTATTTCTTAATAGCTTTTAATAGATATTGCATGATGTGGCCATCATGACATGCTCTAGACGCTTTCAGTCAATGTTCTCTTGCAACGAATCCGTTACATTCGGTATAGGTTTGCTATGAAGGTCTGGATAGATTTCAGCATCACATAATAGATAGAACCATTTGTTGAACCAAGGGGCGTTAACTACGCTTCAGCTTTAATTTTTAATTTTTTATTTGAAATAATGACACGTAAAATTATGATTGACAGTCTTTCCCTGCTTTTGGATGAATTCTGCTGATCGCCAACGTTAAGAAATTGCTGCTTGCGTAGCACAAACTCTGATACCGATGAAATACTTCGGTAAGCAAATGAACTTCTACAGTGGAACTTTAGTTGTTAAATACCGTGTACCCATATTGTCCATTTTCAATACCCAACAGCCCTATATGTTATAGTTATCTGGCTGTTACGAAGCACACCGTTTCACAGCTAAACTTGGGCTCAGAAGGTCCCTATGTGCTTGCCTACAACAGAGAAGACATAATGTGGAAGGAAGTATTGAAAGGTAACAAGTACAAGGAAAGAATGAAAAAGTAATCCAACAGAAGTAATCAAGAAGGATTATAACATAATATACAGTTAGATACATTCAACATTAAATACATCTTGTAGTTCATAATAGTAGACCCTGCCCGGTGTTCGATAATGATTCGTTCCTAGAGTAGGACAATTTCAAAGAAGATGCGATATCGTCTCCTCCTCTTCATTATGACGGAAGAGTTTGGAACACCACAAAACTGGTCCTTACCAAATTCATGTTTTAACAGTTATCGGCAATACAATTTCCGTAATTATCACCTTAACCTCAGTCAAGGTTTTGTAAATTCTGATATTCCTGTTAGATATTCAATAGTACTTTAGCCATTCATAATTAAGTATTGAAGACATCTTGGTCCCAAGTTCTTTAATGAAGATGTCACCACTAAGCTATTTAAACACAGAAACATCTACAGCTCTTCACGAGCAGCGACTTCGCGCTAAGGTTTTTGCTGCTCCTAGGGGTCGTTTGTAAAAAGGATACTGCTAGTTCTTCAATTCCAACACTTTTCAAGGACGACCAAACATTCACTGACCCGGTTGATAAAGCTAACCTTTTGGCTGAGTTATTCGCAAGCAATGCTTGTCGGAAAGCGATCAACCACTGCCCGAGCTCGAAAGGGTATAGGTAATTATGCCATTAAAAGGGTTTTAACATATCTCAATATAAACAAGTCTCCTGGACCAGATGGCATACCGGCACTGGTTTCGAAGCAGTGCATGCTGTAATATTGCTAATGTAACGCCAATTCCTAAAAAGGGAGAGGCTATTCTAAAGTTGTGGAAAGTATGGTAAATTTTCATCTTGTCAAGTATTTAGAGACCAACAATTTACTTAACGTCCACCAGTATGGATTTCGTAGAGGTCGCTCTACGGGAGAACTACTAGCCTTCCTTTCGGAGAAATGGTGTCATTTCATTCACCATTTTGGCGAAAGTAAAGTGGTGGCTCTAGATATTTCCATGGCGTTTATGAATGAATCGTGTGCTTCTTACATGCAGGTGGCAATTTACGTATATGGAAGTTCCGGTCCAGTATACGTGCACTTTGCTTTAGTACTTGAGCTATCTAATCTCTGACCTTTGCTGCACTGTTGCTTAACTTCTGAGATGCAAAAACATCACTTCCGTTTACAACCACGCAGATGGGATGGCCTCTGTTGAGTCGGCAACAGCACCTAGAGACGTAACCGGTAGACCGAAGTACGAATTCATCAAATAAACCGAAACTTTGTTCTTACTCACAGTGACACATTGTGGTAATTCTGCCATGAACAGAGTTTACTCTGAACATACCTGGACAAGGAAGGAAAATTCAATGGTATCACTTGTATAAGTTACCTTTTATCCATCATCATTCAACCCAGCACACTTCTCATTTATCCGACAAACTCATAAAAAAGTATATAAGAAAACAACATATAATAAGTGTGTCATTCTATGATGAATGTAGGGGTATACCGGCCTTGCTAACCCGTATTCATCCTGCATCGTATACAATTAGCACCAACTCATTTACAACGCTTAGTCCCACAATATAGACTTCACCGTGCATCAGTCCTTTAACAGCAACTTACTCTTCCCGCGAATTTGGGTTTAAACCACAGCCACTACGTAGATCCCGAAATAACCTCAACCAACTGACCAGCCAAGACAAGTCCTGCGGGCGACTGGCCACCCGTAGTACCAGATTATGTAGTTAGACCTCATATCAAATCATACCAAGGACAGAAGAGTGAAGTGACATCACCAGTTTATAGTCGGGGCAGACTAGACGTCTTTACTCCGGGATTGCAATACACCAAGATGAGGGTCTTTCATCATGGAAACATGCCCCGGGAGGAGTGTTAGAAATAATATTAACAATCCTTGGTTTAAAATATTTTTTTGTTGATTAAGCCATGTCCGTCTGTCTGTTCGTGTAATCTTGTAAGGTCGCTAATATGGGGATAAGCCAATGAAATTATCTTCGGCCCAAGCCTATTGACTATGATTATAATTGAGTCATTATAAATATACTAGTTATAAACATACTAATATCTCTAGCCTTAACGATATTGTCGATTTTTTACTGCTAGGGAATGAACCGAACTTTGGACCGATTAACACAATATTGATATTGACTCTCGTATGTAGTATGTACTTAGATTTTCTAATAAACATAAAATAACAGTTTCGCTACTTACTCAAATATATACATACATATACATTAGGGTGGGTCGAAAAAAAAAGTTGAGTCAGTCACCCCCTACGATTAAAGATATGTTAATAACATTTCCAAAAATATAAAAAATATTTTTTTTGCCACGCCTAGAAATACCGCCCTTTTTGTTTTTTATATATAACGTCGCCATTTTAAGTCCGATCGTAACATATAATATATCAATATTTATGGCTTGACTGTAGCTATATTTCACTCTTAGACAATTTTTTAATTCGACGTCATATTCTATGCGCGACTTCTGATATCTCGGATCCTTCCCCAAAATCTAAAATTGTGCCTATACTAGAATAAAGTATATTTAATTATATGAGCTATTAGTTTCCAAAATGCTGCGTAATATATAAAAAACAAAAAGGGCGGTATTTCTAGGCGTGGCAAAAAAATATTTTTTATATTTTTGGAAATGTTATTAACATATCTTTAATCCTAGGGGGTGACTGGCACAACTTTTTTTTTTGTCCATAGAGACCGACCCACTCTAATATACATACATACATATATTGTGCATCAATTTAACATAATTCAAAATGTTTTATAAAAGTAAGCAATATACAAAATCAACTTTTCAGAAGCAAAAAAGATTTGAATATAAATATGCAAAAAGAAATTAAATTAAATAATTTTGCATTGAAATCACAAGTACAATAAATTCAGTGTAAATCATTTTAATCTGA